TGTCAATGTTTTCAAGAGTCTGGACTCTAGATCCAATGCGTTTTTTTTCCAGTGTACTTCAGATGTCTGACCCGAACTTCGGCAGCTGGACCTCAAGTTTTTAGATACGTGATCCGAAAACTTCAGAGATCCATATGACCTCAACTTTGGGTCCCTCGCACAAAGTTTTTCTCTCCGTGTAGCATCATAAATACGTCTAATTTTAATAATCAGTCAAAAAGCGCTCTCCCAAAAAGTTACGATTCTTTTCTTTTCGTCCCTCCTCAGGATCCCTTCGTCATTGTGCACCGGAAAAAAAAAAGTCCGGCCGCGGAAGCCGTACTTACGGGCTACATAGACACACACTGAAAAAAAAATCTCGGCGCATTTACTAAGAAAAGGGTAGAATTACCAAGAATTCGGGGTTCTATTTGATCCCAGTTTTTTCTTGGTAAAATTACCATTTATGGAATTGGTAATTTTACCGAGAAATCTCGGTAAAATTATTGAACTTTCTCGGTAATCTTACTGGACCTTGGTAAAAACGCCAATAATTTGTATCGTCTGTGGTAGAATTATCGAGATAAAATGACTATAAGTTACCGGGAATTGATTACCAATAAGAGTGGTATTCTTACCTGAAAAATACAGTAAAAATACCGGTTTTTAGGTAAGCTTACCAGTCTGTCTTGGTAAAATTACCAATAATTGGTGAAAAAAGTGAGATGGTAAAGGTACCAACGGACCTTGGTAAAAACGCCGAGCATTTGTTTCAGTGCACCGTCCGCGCTCCGGGCTCAGAGGCCGAGAGCTCCGGGTGTGGCAGCCGGAGCAGTCAAAGGTACGGCTCCAGCACCCGGAACTATCGGCCTCTGAGCCCGGAACGGACGGTCCGTCTATATGTATAGTCCGTAACTTTTTTTCCATTGTGCGATATGACGGAGGGTGGATACTGCGGAGCGGGACAAAGCGACAACTGCGGATGCTGATATTGACCGTGGCCATGACCGTGGTCATCGTCGTGCTTTGCTCGCGCGCCTTTTTGAATACGCAACCGGCAGGAACTGGGGGCATCCATCGCATCGGCGGCGTCGCGGCGCGGCGGTGAATCAACTGCGAATCGCTCACTGTTTACTCCTTGCTCGCTCCTCGCTACCGCATACATGCTGCCGCCCCGCCCGCGACGGTCCACCGAGTATGCGAAACCCGACAATAAAAAGCACCTGGCTCGCATCTTCGTCTGCATCCGCGACGACTTATACACCCCCCCCCCCCCCCCCNTTACGTGTTAAAAATGCTCGCAAGCGCCCGTTTCAAAATTCCATGCTGTCCCATGGACTCATCGATGGATAATCGTAAGATTGCATAATTTCGGATGAAGAGGTACAGAAGTGAATCCAGCAATTCGGCAACACCGGATTTCCTCCATTTAAAACAATGTTAAATAATCGATTCTTATCGAAGCACCCGAAACCTATAAGAATCGATATATTTCTATCACTGGTAAAAAAAAAACCTCTTGGTTCAAGAGTGCAGTTTCTTGTCGCCGGATTTAAGAGTCTGGACTCTTGTTTCAATGCAAAATCCGCTTGAAACAAGAGTTCAAGACTCTTAAATCCGCGGTGACAAGAAACTGCACTCTTAAGTCAATGCACTGCGGCATTGGTCCAAGAGGTTTTTCTTACCAGTGATCGGCTTAAATGGAGGAAGAGCAATGTTGCCAATTTGCTGGCTACGCTAATGAAGAGGTAGCAAAGAGAGGGTTCCTTAAGGTTTTAATCCCTTGCGAGAGATTATTAAAATTGATGGACAAAGCTATTGACAAAGAACACGAAAGGAAAATAAAGCGGTCCTATTGATGAAACCGAAGGCGGGTGGTTGCATTGAACGAAGGAGGTATGTAATAGAGCTAACGGCAACCCAAGAGAGATACTATAGTAAGTTAGTCCAGTTTTTTGCCTCTTATAGCTTTGAAGAAGCACACGTTTTAACCAATAGAGTTGCTTCGTTTTTCTTTAGTCTTTTTTGTTCGTCGCTATGTCTATCGATTTCAATAATCCAAGACTTTTCTTGAAAGTTTACCCTTTAGCCCTCTTATTGGAAACTTGTGTATGTGAGTAATTGTTTTGGGAGCACCAACAAAAAAACAGTTCTTCCGCAGTTGGGTCCTAATTATTTCTCCAATACTTTCTTATGTTGCAGCCATTGTCTTGTTGCCAATAAACATTTGAGTGGACTCACTTAAAACATGTTCGATTCCAATGGTTGTTTGCATTATGCTCATCGCTCAACTGGAAGTTCTCTCATCACATCCTCGGAGACTTTAACGATAGTATAGGAAAAAATGAGGTCAAAATTCAGGATGTTTATTTGACATTGGGAAAGCTGTACGTTGCAGAGTAAATTGTTCGACGATTGAACACACTATAGGTTGTATTCGATAGTAGTTCAATGTATCAATGTATTCGCTGTACTCAAAACAAAAGAGGATAACTCCAAACAAAAATTTCGTGATTCTTTGGGAACAGCTAAAAATGAGAAAATTCCTAAAATTTTTACTTCTCGGTGCCATTACATACTCATAAGAATCAAAAATATATATCACAAGAAACCCGTTCCCTCAGATTACTCAATTGACTTTTGAGGCTATGTTTACATGCTGAACCAATCGATATCGATAAAATTTCACTTCTTTGATGTATCGGACACGATCCATCGCTAATTGAATGCCATTTTGTTTTAAATAAACTGTCACTTCTGACTCATTCATAAAAGCACCTATCTACACAGGTAAACTAATGGCACCTGCTATGTATATTATTTCTAAAATAAACCAGAAATAAGTTCTTTCTTCTTGTAAAATGTAGTCTAATTGCAAGTCGGGAAAAAAGTGTCAGAAATGCCACCTTGGCTGTTTCATGGAATGCAGTTGGAAGTTAACACAAATCGTGCTTCTCTGACGTGAAGGGCGCGGTTTATCTTAATGTCTACGTGAGTCTTGTTCTCCGTATACTTCTATGCTCTTCAGGGCTCATGTGAAACTAGATATACGCCCTTTTACAAGAGAAGCGACGAAATAGTCGTCTCCCAGACGTAGGAACGTAACATCATTCAAAGTTGTAACATTGATAAAAAATTCAATCTTTTATAAGAATACTGCCGTGCTAAGGAAAAACGCCGTATGAACTTTCTGGCGTTGCCAAATTTCCTTTGATAAAACACGAATTTCCTGGTAAAATTATGAATATTTTCCTTCCAATTTTTCAGGTAATTTTGTCCGCAATTTTACCTAAAGCTCCTTAAAATTTCAAGGAAAAACATACATACCTTTCCTCAAAAATAAACATTTTATCGGAGGAAATATGACAACTCTCGAATGTTCATACGGCGTTCTTCCTTAGCACGGCAGAATAAGACTGTACGATTTCTGTTCGAATGCCGATAATTTTGGGGCTTCATGGCGCACCATAAAAAAATGAAATAAAATAAATCTTCGTTAAAGCACACTTTGCGAGAGGAAATTTTGCTACGTTGGAAAGGTGGTTACGTTCTATTGTCCGGAAAAAGACGAAATTTTATATTGCTTTTGTTTTTGTTGCAAAAAAACTGCTACGGACGGTTTTTAATTGCACTTCTTATCCCTCAGGTCTCAAACAGTTTAAGTGTGACCGACATGGTAATTATTTTCAGTGTGCAATGATTTGCTTCCTCGGGCAATTTATGGTCGTGCTTTCAAATAAAGTCCAGGTATTATCAGGAAGCGCGTTGACATGAGTTAAAAACTGCGAGACTTTTCCGCGCAGTTGCCATTTGGTCTTGACAAGGAAAATTGATGCTCCTTGTGAGCAAAGTCACGGAAAGCCATTCCTTAGTGTGCTGGAAGTGGCAACTGCCTGGTTGTGCCGCCGTTTCAAATACGAAGCAATGAAGGAGCGTCTATCCATCAGCTACCTACTCGGAACTTAACTATGGCTCGAGCTGATTCTTGGGTGATGTATGGTTAGTTTGAAAATTCAACTGACCACGTTGTTTGCAATAGTTAAACGTTCGTTTGGACAAAAATGATGAAGCGCAGACACGAGAAGTACGCACAATGATTCGTGATTTATTGAATGCAAAAATTTCAAGATCAAGTCAAAATAGGACCTTAATGAGACGTAAATAATATTTTTTTACCTAAAACTCTTGCAAAAATCACACTAGGAAAGACTTATTTTGAATGAGCCAGAAATTAGACACCCTCAGATTTGCAATCTCCCGCCAGTTCGGGAAACGGAGCATTTTATCAGGGAGGAATCATCCGAGAGAGACAGGTTCGCATGAGTTGAATAAAATTCTACACTAAGAAAAATTTTAACACAGAAGTTGGTTAATACGGGAAGTAAAACACAAAATAACCTCAGCCTTCGGTTGACAATTCCAAAAGAAAATGTCAGCCAGTTTTCAATGAAAAACGAGTGGTTAATACGAACGTCGCGATCGGTGGAATGTATTTTCCCTGTCTCTTCATTGTATTCTGCTCTAACTTCACCACAAACTGTACCCAAATCAACACAAAACGTGTGTTTGTTTGTGCTTCACCTCCTATATTAACCAATAGTAACACAAGAACACAAATATTTTTATGAGCGTAAAGCCGTTAAGAATAATTTGCAATTAAGAACTATCGTTTCTGGCTCGCTTTAGAAACAACGTATGTGCCATTAATTTCCCAATGCCGGTAAGTGCTTTTACGAGTGAGCCAGAATTAGAGGTGCTCTCTTGCAAAATGAAGTCCGATATGCTCAACTCCTTTGAATGAAAGAAAATTAAAGTTAACACATTTTTTAGCTTCGAGTTTTACAGGTGCAGTATAAGAATGAGTCTGATATTATAGTCAAACAAGATTCTTTTGATCGATCCTCCCCCCCCCAACTCCCCCAAAAAAGGTAAAGCTGTGTTTTCCATCGAGACCGCAGACCGTTGTTCCGACGTAGGAAAGGTTCTCTGTCAAGGTTACGCACACTGGATGAGTATTTAACCATGAACCGAGCAGCGGGTTTTTCAGTGGCTCTTCTGTTCTTCAATTTGATCAGTAGTTCTCCTGTTTTTTATTAGATTGTTGTTTGTGAGTATATTGCCCGATATCATTTATCTTTACAATGGCATGCACACAGAACTTAGCTCTTATACTCTCAACTAACAATAGTAATAAACTGATTACAAGACTTCCGTCCGTCACTTTAATTCCCGCGATCAGTGGCGTGGCGTGCTTTGCGATATATCGATTGACTGCCGTTTAAACCTATGGGAAAGGATCAATAAACAGGATTTTCGCTACGAACACCTTGATAATCGATTCTTCATCATAGCTTCAATTAGGGAAATATCGATAATCGATCATTCACGCGTTGGCAATGCCCGCGATGGTGAAGATTGTGGAAAATCGATTTTTCCTAACTGTTTCGGGCTCCTCCTTATTCATGATACATCCCGATAAATTTCGATTACCACCATTGGCTAGAAGTATTTTTTCATGCAACTTCAGTTTCTCTCTAACGTTGAACTTCATCGAAACAGAAAATAATTATAAGTCCGGTTTTGTGTAACAACCGTTTGTCCAGTATTTGTGCAAAACGCGCTTCGAAGCAGTTGTAGCATTATCGAAATTTCAAGTTTTCCAGCTAAAATCTTTTTTCCTTTGGGCACAAGGAGGGACAATTTTTTGGAGTTATAGCCATGTATTTTTTGAACAATGTACAAAAGTAGCGAACATCTCTGAATTCAGCATTTACAATGCCACATGGTTCTAGTTATTTAACACCAGAAACTTTTTTTCATGTATATCCAAGTATTCCTTTCCCTGGGCTTTCTCGCAGTAAGCGGAGTTTTAATTTTTTTTTCGAGTTAGACCCTTTACGGAACCAAGAATTTGAATATCTTTAGACACAATAGTTGCTTTCAAAAAATATTAAAGTATTTTCCTTTGCAATTTTCAAACGCCGAGTCTGAGTAGTAAGATATTTGACGGAAGTCGTAGAAACCCTTGCTCGCTTCTGATTGGTGCTGGATGGCATAATTTGTTTCGGCGCGAAACCGGGGCGTTTTAAATTTGCGGAAAAGCTGCGCTTTTTGAACTGAACATTTCTCGATTTCTAAGTTACCTTGTCGAGTTTTAATAAGCGCATCGTGTTTTTCGCGTCTTATATCTTCAGAAAATGTGTTCGCACATCAAAATTCGTTCACGGTTTCCTGACCCATTGTTGCGGGTTCCATACGGTGGCAAGTCATATTTCCTAAAATATTGTTTCCCACTACAAGTTTTCCTAATACTTTTTTCCTACTCGTTTTTTGTCCCATCCTAGTTAGTCCTACTAGTGAGCTGTCCTACTGGCTTTTTTCCTAGGGCCGTTTGTCCTAAATTCGGTTTAAAAAAACAACATAGGCACCTCACAAGTTAAAGTTGTGGCCGCATACCCACAAGTAGTGGAGTATCCTCTTCCTTGTATTGAGGGTATAGAAGGCTCAGAGTGTGTTGTCTCCTGTTCACACGCTTTTATTTGGCTCGCTAAGGAAATTTTACACTCTCCGAAACATTTCCCTCTGCTCTACTCATGTTCCCGTCTCAATTATTATTGAATTATGGGGACAAACACCCTTAGGAAAAAAGCCACTGGGACGTCTCACTCGTAGGACTTACTGCAATGGGACAAAAAATGAGTGGGGAAAAAAGTATTAGGAAAACTTGATGTAGGAAAAAAAAATTTAAGAAAAACGACCTAGCACTGTTGCATACCGATGGTGAAACTGCCAAAACGCGCATATCAGTTTGCGGCGTTGCAGACTTCCTGTCATATTTTATTTTTCACATGAAAAACGACTAAATGTCATTTCTTGAGAACTTTGGTGATTTTTCATCTTATGTGAAGAGTATTCAGTGAAAATTTCAAGCCACGACGTTGGTTCGATCTTATTTTAAAAAATAAAGTAGGAGATTTTTAAATACCGCAACTGATCGTGAGATACGTATTTTTGCAGTTTCACCATAGATACGCATCTTCTGAGAAATCTTTGAACTTCAATGGAACACAGAAAAAAATTATGATAACATTTACTATTAGTCTACTTGATTAAACACATCGTGATACTATTTGGCGAAAATAACCAGAATTATAGAAGTATTTACCAGAACTCTGGTGATTCTCACCAGTGGCGTGGCGTGAATTACGATATATCGATTGTTATGCCATTTAAACCTATGGAAATGGATCGATAAATAGGGTGTTCGCAGCGAACACCTTAATAATCGATTCTTTACCATAGGTTTAAATGGCACAACAATTGATACATCGCAATTCACGCCACGCCACTGATTCTCACCATAATATGGTAAATGCAGCCATAGAGTCTGGTGCTCATTACCATACTCTTATCACCGTGTCAGAGTATGGTAAAATCTACCATATTTTTTTTCAGTGAAATTGAAATTTCGCTTTTCAGCAAAATGAAATATTATTTTGCATCCCTGGCTCCTCCTCAGCGTGGCAGTATTAAAAAGGATATATCGACGGTGAAACTACCAAACCACGTATCTCGGTTTGCGACGTCGCAGACTTCCTGTCATACTTCATTTTTCAAATGAAAAACTACTTAACATCCAGTCTTGAAAATTTCTGTGATTTTTCCTCTTTGTGCGGAGAAAATTCCGTGAAAATTTCAAGGAATGATATTGATTTGATCTACTTCAAAAAAATAAAATGTGAGCGTAGATTTATAAACACCGCAAACGAGATACGTGGTTTGGTAGTTTCACCGTCGATATCTAATATGAGGGGGATGTTGATGTATGAGACGTTGAGTTCTTTGCACGCCAAGAGATCCCGGGGCAAAGGCCGGTCACGCGTGTCCCACAGCCAAGCCCGCGTTCTTCGCTCTTCCGTGTTACGGAAAAGAGACGTAAGTGGAATCCGGGATGAGCCTCGAGACGCATTGCAGTACATGCTAACCATGGCTCATTCAGGAATGCACTACGGCTCTTTTCCATAACACGGTAGCGCTACCCGTCATCTTCAGGTGGCGTCACCATGCGCTGGCGAGCCTTTTCCGCGCAATGTGTCCTCGTCATTTCGAATTGTTATTAGCTTCCAGCGAGTCATACTTTGATGGCTGCATGAATCACTGTTAGTCACATCACAAGCATGTAATGAATATGAACCCAGTCGATGCGCATTGAAAATTGCTGTATCGATGACGAAAGCACGAAAATACGTACCTCGAGCACGGTGTTACAAAATCCCAATTGGGGGGCTTGGAGGACAAGGCACATAAGAGCAGTTTTTGAAAAAATTGAGATTTTATTGCTTTCAACTGGAATTAGTCATAATGCATATCCCGTGAAAAATTCGCTCCAAAATTCCGATTTTTAAGTATCCAAAAGTCAGCTTAAATTTGCTCTCCGCCATAAGGATCCGCGTAATTTCGAAACTTCAGACACGTATTTCTTGAAGTAGCAAAAACTGCACGTACCTATGCGCCTTGTCTTCCAAGTCCCTCAATTCCTATGTCCTTTTTTCTTTTCTTTTCTGATGAAAAAGACTTGAAATTTTAACAAATTTTAACCAATTTTAAAAAACGAAAGTCTAAAAAAAAAGGTTCCTGAAAAGACTAAGAAAAATCATATTGATGGCCAAAGTGCGAGATTTATGTGCCTCCGTTTGCAACGTTGCACTTAACATTTGAACTCTACTTGGCCCCATATAAATATCTACAGTAAAACCAACAAGTTCTAACCCTTCATTTTAATTTCTACAGCAGCCTCGTTGTAATGTGCGCTGTTTGAATGGGTCCTTTGCTCTAAAATCATTTCAGGATACAATTTCATGGAAAGCCCATAACGATTAAAAATCTAAGTTTGAAATTTTAAAAAAGGATAAAAGTATCATCAGTCAAACTTTAAAGTTCCTTGTTGAATTTTCGGATATTATTTGCGGATTACATACTTGGCTCCTGCAAATTCAATGGCACTATAAGAAACTATTTCAGCATAATGAAAAATCACAGTATTTCATTCCATGAGCATTTTGTAACCCTGTTCACACTGCTGGTCACGAGAACATGATGTTCGTCATAACCTCCGCTGGGAACATAAACAACCAGGTTGACTCATTTCAGTCTTCACAGCCCCTGACAGTCAGTGACCTCGAACGCGTTGACGTTTATTAGATTGCCTACCGAGCCCCTCTGCTCGAGGTTCAGTCAGATCGGTATCGCGACGTGTCTCTGAGCTCTTGCAAGCAAGAGATACAGCTAACTGAATACACGTTCAGTTAGTAAGTTCGCTCGAAAATCACGTCAGGCACATCAAAAAAATCTGAAATCCACTCCTTAGCGTGCAATCTACACAGTTTATAACACGCTTTTTCAAATTGATCGTGTATGCTGGCAATTTTCTCGGTGGCCGGCTGTCAGTATAGAGACGTTACTTACCTAAATAAATAAATAGAGAATCTCGCGAACTATAATAAACTCTCCTTGCGTCATATTTAAATCGATTCAAAGCTATTGTTTTTGCAAAAAAAAAGAGACAAAAAAGGAAACAAACGCTTGAAAACTATGGAAATCGTACAGTACACAAAAGTTAGTGAAATCGTTGGTTCAGTCAGGTTAGTTTCTTTTACTCCTCCTCTCGTACAAACTTGATTGGCGGTGACTGAGAAAAACTGCCCGCAAACGCGGGAAACTTGGAAAAGCGTGTCATAAAATACGCAGATGGCGCTCTAAGGAGTGAATTTTAGACTTTTTTGATCGTGTCTAACCTGATTTTTGTGCGAATTCACCCGTAAAGTGTATAATTGGGCGTATCTCTATCAAACGAAACTATGTGCATTAAGACATGAGCCCTGAGACCCATAAGAATATGTGCATAACAGGGCTCACGTCGTAATGCACATAGTTCCGTTTGATAGAAATACGTTCAATTATTTGGCTGTGCCCTTACGTGCAACAGACCCTTTTTGGCCTAACTGTACATCAAATCAGATTACTGACAATTTTTGGCGGCGAAACTCCTAGCCAAATTCAATTGACCCCTTGACCCTCCTGAGCGTCGCGCTAATATCACAGCAGGTC